CCGGGCCCGGCCCCGCGCCGCCATCGGCCCTCACCGCGCGCGGCCGGAAGCGCGGCCCCGCCCGCGCCGGAAGCGGAAGGGGCGGGCCCGGGCCGAGCCGCCCTCAGCGCCTGGAGCGCGCTCAGTGACAGAGAAAGGACGGTAACGGTCGCGAGAGGAGGCGAAGAGTCTTCTACCTGCGTTTTTTCTTTCAGAGGGACAAAGGAAAACAGTCACGTGTGTGAAGAGTGTTACTCGCCCAACGACGCCAGTTCTATTATCCGTGACTCACAACCGGCGTTTTGCACGATTACTGCAGCTTCACTTTGCTGTAGAACACTGCACATTGTTATCACCCACAATAAGGTTTACACACACTAATTGACAGCGTAATCATTCTATATCAACCCTTCAATGTACCATTCAACCATTAGAGCACCTTACTGCTCAGGTCTTGCTTGTTAATAAAAGGTTTTGTTAATGAAAAAAAAACATTGCAGAGCCACTGGTAAACTAAGCATCTGTCCCCCGTGATTGTTTATTTGTAATTATTAACCTGGAATTCGATCCTACCAGTATTAACTAGCAGTTGAGCAAGCTAGAGTAAGGAATGTGGGAGGATAAGGACTTTTGGAAAGCACTCTGATAGCTTCTCTTCAGATCATTTTCAGTACTAAAAAAATTCATGTAAATCAGAGTAATCTGGGCAGGGCAGTTCAAATTGCAAAACTGAAAAAAAAAATCTAGTTGAGCAAAGAATGGCTTTAATTTCACTGATTTCAGTCATGCTTGAAGGGAATGATGAAAAACTAACAGGAGTGCACCCTCTCACAAATGCTCTTTTTTCCTGTTAGTTTAACATGGGTAATGAGACGTGATAAAAGAAACAGTGTAGTTCAACATAGAATTTTGAAGCTAGGAAAGCTGCAAGATGTCTTTTAGAATATGAATATTTAAATATTCCTTACATTTCACAGTGTTACTCTGACTAAAAGAAGGTGTCCTTAAAAAGTATAATTAAAGCACCTGTTTCAAGTGTCTCTGACAAGCAGCCAGTGGAACAAATTCTCTTGAGAACGATCTGCATCCACAAGGTAAGGAATGTGGGAGGATAAGGACTTTTGGAAAGCACTCTGATAGCTTCTCTTCAGATCATTTTCAGTACTAAAAAAATTCATGTAAATCAGAGTAATCTGGGCAGGGCAGTTCAAATTGCAAAACTGAAAAAAAAAATCTAGTTGAGCAAAGAATGGCTTTAATTTCACTGATTTCAGTCATGCTTGAAGGGAATGATGAAAAACTAACAGGAGTGCACCCTCTCACAAATGCTCTTTTTTCCTGTTAGTTTAATATGGGTAATGACATGTAATAAAAGAAACAGTGTAACATAGAATTTTGAAGCTAGGGAAGCTGCAAGATGTCCTTCAGAATATGAATATTTAACTATTCCTTACATTTCACAGTGTTACTCTGACTAAAAGAAGGTGTCCTTAAAAAGTATAATTAAAGCACCTGTTTCAAGTGTCTCTGACAAGCAGCCAGTGGAACAAATTCTCTTGAGAACGATCTGCATCCACAAGGACTGAGTGAGAATTTTGACTTCAAGATTTGTAAGGCTTCTGTGGTTACAAAAAGCTTGCAAGCTGTTATCCTTCTCCCCTCTATGAGGTTTTTGAGGCAGACTGGAATGACTTGAGAATTCAAGTCATTTCCAGAGACAACAGCTTTTGAGAAGACACGAATTTAAACCATCTTTCTAGACACTAAATACTGTGTAAATCTGCAGGAGACACTGACAAAAATTTGACACTGAAAGAAAGATGCTTTTTCCCAAGAAACTTTCCACCTTGTGACAGACTTGGTTAATAAAGTGCCTGTTCACAATGCACGTCAATGTTTTTCAGTCAGCTACAGGCATTTCAGCAGATGAATCGGTGAAGCTGACATGAGCAGGCACCAACAGCACTCTGAGGTCCTTCATAAAGGATTCCATTCCTACCAGATGTAATCCAGCCTTGAAGGATGACACAGTTAGCTGCTGGAAGTTTCTCAGTGTCGTTAGAGCCTGCAGGGAATGATGCTCAAGGCTGCTGGAACAGACACAGGCTCGGTGTCCTCGTGGACTGCCACTGGGAGGGGAGCTGCTGTCTCCCAGTACAATGCTCCTCACAGCAACTGGGGCTGTTCTTCACTTCCTCACTGAGAGCAAAGGAAAAAAGTATCCCAAACGGTGTTGTTATGAACAAGGTTACATACTATCCTCACTACTTCTACCTTTTTGGAATAAAAAGGTTCTTAAGTCTGCTTCAGCACTCTCGGTGTCCTCGTGGACTGCCACTGGGAGGGGAGCTGCTGTCTCCCAGTACAATGCTCCTCACAGCAACTGGGGCTGTTCTTCACTTCCTCACTGAGAGCAAAGGAAAAAAGTATCCCAAACGGTGTTGTTATGAACAAGGTTACATACTATCCTCACTAGTTCTGCCTTTTTGGAATAAAAGTTCTTAAGTCTGCTTCAGCACCAAATCCTTTCCCGTTACCCTCCATCAGAACATGGCTCTGCCCTAGTACACAGATCAAGAACATTCAAGCAAATCCAGAGTCCACTCAACAGTTTTTAATAACACTTTCTCCAAAATCTCTTTGCCACTTCTGAATTTACCCCGTTGCAGAAATCATTAGGAAATGTCACATTGAGAGGCCACTGGCCCAAATATCTCTGTTCCAGCTGTGCACAGCAATAATGAGATGGGTAATGACTTATTACTACATATATAACTATAGAGAGCTCCAAATCAGACATAAATCAGTGACTCATGAAGCTTTTTCTTGACAGGGCTCACCAAATTATAGCAAAATCACTCATACTTTTACAAGGAAGTGCCATTGAAAGGTGAATTCCCTACAATACTGTATCTTATCACAAAGTGATTCAAGTTTTGAAATAATTTTTATTTAAGTATGACATTCCAACTTTTCAGGTTTTTAAATATTAAAATATATTACATTATATTATAGATTTCAAAAAACTTAAGTTTGACAAAACATTATCCATAGCTTTGGGACCACTTTGCTTTTTGTAAACATCCACCTCACCACTAAATGATGAGCTGCAAGGAGCCAGAGGGAATAATTCTTTAGTACATTTCTTTCTCAAGCTGCATATCTTTAGAGACAGAACAACTGTTGTGCTGTATACTCATTCACAACAACTTACACTAGAGAAATAAACCATTTATAAGCACATACACATGTCCAACAGAAATCATACTACTGCAGCATGAAACTGTAGAATCCTTGGCCACCAGGAGAGACAATAACAATCCCATCATTTGGGAAATGTGGAATATACATATGCTGTGTACTGTACTATTCACACAGGAAGCCACAGGACACAGAGAACTGCAATCCCTGCATTAAGAATGTAATTTTACTGAGACTAATCCCTTTACCAATTAGGAAAAATTGGAAATGAGATAATCAGAATGCTTCCTTTTTAGCTTAGGGCACATGCAAACCCAGTAAAAATCAGATTTGCACAGTTGTACAGACCACACTGTGAAAGTATCAGAAGTAAAGGCTGCAAGTGCTCCATGTACTGACTCGAACTTTACAGCAACACCAAAACTGAAGCAGGAGATAAGACAGCCCCAAAGAAAGTGCATTTGTGTTCTGCTTTCAGAGCAAGATCCAAACCTGATGGCGTGGTGCAAGGCAACTTGGCATTGTCTGTTGTGTGAATACACCCTGCCTACCAATGTCCTTGAAACTCTGATACAGAAACTACTGCAACAAAAGGACTTAGATCTTGAGATGAAAGTATCTGAACTGCAGACTTCAGTAAACCTCCAGAGACATGAGCACTTCTCCCTCACCTGACATCCATATGCTCTCAGAGTCTATGCAGGTATCACTGGAGACAGTGGAATAATTGTAACTTGGTAAGTCTTGACCAGGGGATATCTCACTACTGCTGTTCATCAGTGTCATGGAATAATCTGGTTGAACATAACTTCTTTTTTTAATAAGGTAACTAAGTAACATTAAATATAGTTAAAAAGTGATATTTTTTAGCATTAAGACAAAATTGTGAGCACAGTAAACACCAAAAGCAAAGATTTAATATACTTGCTACAACATTATATTGCTCAACTCCTGAATTTATTTGCATGCACCTGCCCTTACATGGAAAATGCAATGTTTATAAAAAGATGTTACAAACTTCTACAAGGTATCAACCAGTGCATTACTGTTGTCCCAGTAAACCTAGACACACTAGTTATGTGTCCAAGAAGACCTCTTGCAGACACAGATTTACCACCACTGCGGGGAGTGGAAACACCCCAACCTTTAAAACGCTCCTTAAAAGCTAAATTGGTGCTGGTATCATGTGCCTAACAGCTTTAGAAATGTTTCATTTACAGGAATGACACAGGTAGCATAAGACTTCTCATATTTCTGCCCAGAAAATGGTATTGTGACTAGAATACCTGTGTAGCTCCTGAGTTCTACTGAGACCAGAATTCCCACCAGTAACCACCAAGATTCATCCACAAAGAACTGCAATGAACTCATTCCCTACTGCTAGCTGAGACAGTCTTGACATACTGAAGCAGAGTCTAAATTCACAACTTCAGCTGAAAAAGGTCTGGTATCTTACCAGTCAGTTCAGCTTTTGTGGCTTAGATTTAAACTTCCTGGCCAACAAACTGCCACCACAGAACTGCAGTTCTGCATCCTGAATGATGGACTCAAAGACACCAAAGCTGGAGCTCACTTTGGCGAGGTAAAGGAGTGAGCTGGTGTAAGGTAAATGAACAAAAATAACCATCTCTGTATTTGTGAAAGCCAAGTTAATTTGATTGTTAATATCCAAACAAGTTTTCATGACAACAAAGAAATGCACTTGACCATTTACAGCAAAACAGATTTATACAATAACAACAAGT